TGGCTTTTTTCATTTTTTCTGTTTTTCTGTTTTTTTTTTTGCTTTCTTATTACTACACAACTTTAGTTGTTAAAACAAAAGGGCGAGCTCAACCAACAAGAATTGAAGAAGAAAAAGGAGAACTCATCGAGCCAGAAATATTATACAAAAGAGTTAAGCGTGCAATTGCAACACTTTGTTGTTTGTTTTTGTTAAACTTTCATTTTATTATTATTATTTTGACGTCATCATCTTTACATACATACATACATACATACATACATACATACTTGCACACGATAATGCATATACCATCATAATAATTGTGTCCACATATTTAAGTAAATATAAAGAAACAGGTTAAGAGAATGTGTTGGGTTTGCGGTTTATTTTAAGGATCTTTGCCTCAAAAATGTCGTGTTCAAGTAGTTTTTTTCTTCTTCTATATTAAGACAAAAAGGAAAAAAAAACAAAAACAAAAAAAAGGAAAAAATTTAGAGGATTATTATCATCATTGTTAGTTTGTTTTTTTACTTATTTATTTATTTATTTTTTTTTTTTAATTTTTTATTTTATTTTATAACCAAACTTTTCATTGTTTTCTGAAACGTCAAACAACAAACGGCAAGCAGCACCAGCAGCAGCAGCAGCAGAGCACAGAGAGAGCAGTGAAGGAAAAGTAAAAGCAAAACTTTGTAAATTTTTATAAAGTTTTTTTTTTTTTTTTGTTAAAAGCTTTTATTGTTATAGTTTTCCATTCGACAAAACTGACGGGGATACGTGCGTGTAAATGAACGTTTGTCGTTTTTAAGTGATTTTTCCTTTTCTTTTTAAATATTTTTATATGCATCACTGGACGAAGACACAAGTATGTTAATTTTCTCATGCCATTTGCATATAACATCCTCTACATTGACTTGAAAGCGAAATTCATCTTGATTTAGTATTAAAATTTGAAACTTTATGGACTTACTTGACTCTTTTTCTTCAGATCTTGGTTTTATGGTAAGGAGTTACGCTTAACAATAGTTGAAAAAAAAAAAAAAATTAATGAAGAAAAAATGTTGTCTTTAAATAACTCACAAATAGCGAAGGACATTGCTTTGAAAAATGGACGAGCACTCAATGTAGTTTAGTAGAGCGATAGCTTTTTTTTTATATAGATAAGTGTCTACGATTCGGCCACAATTGATGACTTTTTTGCTCATTTTCATCGTTCTTTTCATTGCTCTATATATGTATATATATATATATATATATATTTAATCCCTCAAGTGCATTATTCTTAAGCATTTTTTCTTAACGCATTAGCATTTTGGCTTTGTTTACACCTACCTCGGGTTGTTTGTGAATTCAATTTAACCAATATTTTTAAAAGAAATATAACACTAGTGGCTGTAATGACATTCAAGAACATATTATAATGAATCAAATTGAAGAAGAAAATTTTATATAATATTCCCAAAAGGTATAATATAGAGAGGAAATATTCGAAATATATATATATATATATTTTTTTATTATTAAATTCAATGCCGTGTGAAGTAAACTAGAATTTAATTTCTGATAAATACGCCAGGTCTCTGAGTAAGAGCAACACCTATTAACAGAGTTCCTTCTTTAACTTGTCGGTATACGTCGATCAATTTAATTTGATGATCCCCCCCGTGAATATTTTTGGGGACTTTATGCTTGCTGTCTAGCTCTAGCTGTCCCCTTGCGAGCCAAAGCCCCTGTACTGCGCAGGAATATATACATATTCTATTCGTCTCGAAGCTAATCGCTTATATCTGCCACCCTTCAAGATCATTTTTGGACACGTTGCGAAAAGGAAGAACTTGTAGCAACTACCTTGACTTCTCTCAACGTATCAAATTGAAATTCAGGTCTGATAATCACAGTTGCCATAAATTTTAGGAATCCCGTATGAGGTTTATAGGCGTTTCATAGATCGATTTTGATGACTTACTATATTGATTTCGCTGGGGGTGGCTATGTCTATTCCAAGTATCGATATTAATTTCCAGTTTTTCAAGAGCAGATTGATTCAACACGTACAGATCCAAACATCGGTGGTATGCGTAGATGAAAGTGTTATATCTTGTAATAATGATTGTCGGTAACCAACTCCTCGTGCGCTCTGCTGAAACACTTGTAATGTTTATGATGTGAAATTTTTCCTAGAATTACCAAAATATAAAAAAAAAAAAAAAATACTTCTGATATCTACCTATTCTACTATACCCGCACAATTTAATTTAATTACTGATCATATTTTTTGGTCATAATATTATTTGTTTTTTTTTTTTTGTTCATTTAAAGATAAAACTCTTGCACATTGCTTATGCAAGTATTTTTCAAAGAAGTTAATTTTAATATTCCTTCACTTAATATCAAATTTCAAGTTTATTAAAAAGAACAAAAAAAAAAAAACCTTTGTTGTCATTTGCTATAAAATCATAAACTCCTCATCATTAACAATAGAAGAGAAGATAAAGAAATAAAAAAGAGATCACATAATCATAATAATAATAATGATAATAATTGAAAATGTTTCAAGTATCACATTACGAAAGTCATCAAACATTTCTCTACATTATTACGAGCATAAATGTTTTATGCATATTTGGTATAATAATAATATACTTTCCTCGTTGGTATATATATATATATATATATATATATATATTCGTTCTTTAATATGTGATAAAAAGAATATTATATTTATTTTTAAAACGAGACTAGACGAGACAATCTGACAAACTTAGTCCTTCTTTTAACCTCCTTGTTCGTCACTAAGAATATTAAAATATTCAACAAGCAATTCTGGTTTTTCACCATTTTATAAAAAATGTTTACTTAAGAATCTATGTTTTTGAAAGCATTTTTTTCAAGTATGTTTGCCTCTTACATATATTTACAAACACACGTATATATATATATACCGTGAGTACATACATAATAAAACTCTGCTAAATGCGCACATGTAGACGTTATCCTAATATTCATCTAGCTTTCCCATTTTTCGTAAAGTTATAGTTTATAAGTAAAAGAGGAAAACAAAATTCTTTTTAAATTCTATAAATGAGAATATATACATATATGCGAGAGAAGCATAAAAAGTTGAAGAATTTCTTAAAGAACGCATCTTTTTACACATTTTATCTCCCAAGTTATTATTCTTGCCATCTTCATACAAAAATGCGTGGCAAAGTAAACTGGGGATTTGTCTCACCATGTTACGCCAAAATAGCACTATATCTCGGCTTTTACAGGTTCGTCGGTAAGCACGCAGTAAAACTTCGATTATCTTGAATGGATGGTGCCACACCTAACAGGCAAGATAAGCTATAAAAGTATTCCATTTCCTCCTTTACGACATAAGGCATTTAGATGCGGTATATTTATGATATAAAACAGTTACGATTCCGTGGTGTGCGCATTAAGTTTACCAGGTAAGAGGTAGACCCCCACATTGCAAGCGATCTAGTTTCAAAATGCAACCAAGCCAAGTGATAGAGGTTTCGAATAGAGAAGTAGACATAAGCCAAAACCTTGTCTTCTACTATAGAAAAAAGAAATCGAGAGATAAATCAACACTGTAACTTACCCCTACGTCCATATTTAACAAGATATTCTGATATTCTGGACGAATTATGGCAGAAAGATAATGTTATTCAGTCTGTTTTGTTTTATACTCATTTTCATTGAGACAAAATGCAACAAGCATCTAGTGTTGCGAATAATTCTCAAATTAAAAATGATGTCATTGTCATTCCATGCAAAGGGAGAATCTATTTAAAAGAGGTTTTCTTTCAATAGATGAAATTCGTTCAGTAGGGGAAAGTCGTTTGGGGGCCGATTCTGCAGTGAACACGTTCAAGGCTGTCGCTCTATCTGTGGGTAAACTAGATTAGATCTTGTAACAGATGATGTTAGTGTCTAATGATGCGAATTCTGAAAGCGTACCAATTATTGAAGCTCTCTATTTGCCTACTCTTATATCTTAGCAAGGCGCACAATATAGTTGCGTGTAGAAAACCTTGTGTGTAATATTTCAAACTGATGAACTTTCGTTGTCAATCACCAAATGTTTCTGTGGGGAAAATGTATATTCAATCCGCATACGATTGATTAGAAACTCTCGAATAGTGTTGAATCCGCAATTACAGTGGTTTTCCGTACGAAAAAATGTCTTTACCGAGTAAAAACGAAAGCCTAATAACAGGCGCAAAACAAGTCAAGTCCTACCCGTCAAATCTATCTCCTCCATCTGAATTCTATTCTCTTTGCCTTATAAAGAAAAAGAAAAAAAAAAAAAAAACGAAAATAAATCTTCTCGTACGGCCCTCGTATGTATAAAATTCAAAGTTTTGCCAATTTATTGTTAAGAAGTACGTGCGTTATGTTTTCATAACTTTTTCTGCTCTCTACGCTCTTCTTTAAGCCTACGGTGGTGATAGCTGGCATAACTGTTGCTACCTGTGTCATCTCTTTAACAATTCTAATCAATTTTTGTTATTCTTTTATTTCTTTTTTGTTTTCAACCACTTTGAAGAGGATAAAATCCTGCAGAGCGACGACCTAGCATTGTTGAATGTTATCATTTGAAGTTTGCAGTTAAAAAGATATTCAGCACGTACCTTTCAGGTGTAGACTATTATATATATTTTAGGAAGGTACTCAAGTATAAAAAGATTGCCAGAATATGTGTTTGTTTATCTACGTAAACGAATAACGCACGGTTGGATAAGATTGAAAATGTGTTGTAAAAATTTCAATTCCTTAGGTTTAAAAAATCAGTTTTACAGCATCTATATATATATATATATAGCAGCATCTATACGTATTTATATGTCTATAGATACATATATATATGAGATATGATTTTCGATATATACGGTACTACTTACCTGTCCGATTTAGCTTAATTTTGCTAACAACAATAACAAAAACAAGAAATTTTAAGAAAACTAAAAATATTGTAAATAAAACTTTGTTACTATAATTCTCTCTTTTAGAATGCTATACAACCCGATTATCGTATACAATCACCAGCTGCCGGCTCGCCGTTGCCGCTTTGCGGTACTAATAATACAAATAACACAACTAATGCAGATACCACGGTAGCAATTTTGCAGAATAATACAAATGCTGTGAATTCCGCCAGCGGTAATAGCAATGCTGGTGGACCAAATACCGTGCTGCGAGTTATTGTTGAATCTCAACTGTATCCAGTATCGCTGGACATCCTACATCAGATTTTCCAACGCTTCGGTAAAGTTTTGAAAATTGTCACATTCACGAAGAACAATACATTCCAGGTAAGCGAGAAAAGTAGGAGCAAATATAATGCAAGAGTAGCAAAATAATGAAGAGTTATTATTACTGCTTACATATATTATTATTATTATTATTATTATTATTATTTGTTATTAATAATTGTTTCTGTTGTTGTTGTTGTTGTTTTAATGCTTATTTTGTTGTCATTTGTTGTTATTATTATATAGGCCCTCATACAATATCCGGATGCCCACTCAGCTCAACATGCCAAAACCATATTGGATGGTCAAAATATTTATAATGGTTGCTGTACACTGCGCATTGACAACAGCAAGATGACAACGCTCAATGTCAAATATAATAATGACAAATCACGAGATTTTACCAATCCATCGTTACCACCTGGCGAACCGGGTGCCGATATTATGCCCACAGCTGGTGGTTTAGTCAATGCAAACGATTTACTATTGATAGCGGCCCGTCAGAGGCCCTCACTAACAGGTGATAAAATAGGTAACACTCTACAACTTTCCATTTTTCAATTTTAGTTAGTTTTTTTATATGTTAAATATATAAATTTAGATTTTTTTTTCCTCCTCTCCTTCTCCTTGAATCTTTCCCACGCCCATAGATGCAAACGCAAAATAATCCGCATTTTAAATCAGGTAAATACAGCTATTTAATAGAACTTCTGCAGGAAAAGAAATGCACTCTTACGACACTGGCGGTGGCCTATCCAAGATGTTTATAAATAAAACTGATCTCGTAAACTTACAGTTATCGAGCCAAACCGGATAGATACGCGGGGAATCCAATTTTCTCGATCTAAAGGATATTTTTACTTCTTTAATTGTAAAATCCATCCTCCTCCTCTTGGACTCTTCGAAGAAATTGATTGACAGTTAAACTAGTGATTACTCTTCTAACATCTATGACCGTTTTTAGTTCACTAATTTTCATTCGGCCATGTCTTAATATAGTCGATATATTTCATAATCTAGTCAATGATTAATAACATCCATCTGAACGCAATTGTTGCACACGAGTAACCGTGTGTTTAAGTCGCTGTGTGCATTCTGCTTACTCCAAAGTGTCCTTCAAAAGTTTTTAGGCAATTGCATACAGGTATTATTGCCGAGATTATTTAAGTTTCCATTTCGGATAATTCTTTTCCGTAGCAGTTGGGACTTTGCACATTTCTAAAAAATTCTTAATTAATAAAACAACAATCTCGCAAAGTGTCAATGCTTTATAGTTTGCCATTAATTCTCATTGTGGCTAACTACATACATAACTGCATTTTTATGATATTAATTTGTTACTTCCTTCACTTTTCGCTTTTATGCTCTCTCTTGACCGATAATTTCTTTTATATAAGTTCTGTCAATTAATTAATTTTGTTGTTCCCACTAAAAAAAATATTCTATTAAAAAGTTTCCGCAGTGTTTTAAAAATATCAAGCTTGACACAATTTTGTGGCCTTTTTGTTGTACGCTTGCTAGAAAGCACTGAAATTTTAAATATTTATTATATAGCCAACTCCTTCTTCTTCTATCTACAGTACATTAGTTAAAATATTTTTTAGAAGAAATTCATTTAATAAAAATGGTCCTAATTTGACCCATTGAACTTTCATTTGAGTAATTGTTGTAATTGATTGGTATCATGTTGAGCCTGATGGAAAATTTATTCCGTCTGAAGGTAGCTACTACCGCCTTTGCATAGTAGTGGTGGTAAATAAAGACCTAAGAAATTTATAATGGATTCTAAAATGTGAAAGCGATTAGAAAGCAATGGCGGCGTTCATTAGGAGGTAGGAAGGAAATAGAAATCAAAATTTCCTGAAAGCGTAGAGTTTTTATGCCACATAGCCGCAGAGTAATGAATAGCTTTTTATTATATCCACCCCAACCGACTCCGGCATCCTTATTTCCTTTCTTATATTAATGTATAATTTGTGTTTGTCTCGTCTACTGCGCTTATTATCTGTGTCTGTCCCTATCTCTTTTTGTAATCTTAAGAGAAAATTGTAATTATTATTAAATGTTATTCACATTTGAAATTAAAAGTAGAACTATTTTTCTATTTAGTAAATGGTCTTGGTGCTCCTGGTGTGTTACCACCGTTTGCTCTTGGCATTGGCACACCACTGGCCGGTGGGTATAGCAGCGGCATCCCAAATTTGGGTGCATTTGCTCTTGCCAATAGCGGTGCTCTACAAACAGCCACTCCTGCGTTGCGTGGCTTCTCGAATGTTTTGCTAGTATCGAATTTAAATGAAGAGGTAAGTAAAATAAACAATTTAAAAAAAAAAATTAAATCAATAAAACTGTATAAGATTAAAAAAGAAAAAAAAAAGGTGGGATTTGATATAAATAATTTCTATTATCTTTCATTTATAATATACATACAAGCAGTAGTAGATAGAGGTTCTCTTTTTGAACCTTTTTCTCAAACATCTCCATAGAGTAGATAGATTTATAAAATAGATTATCTAAGAAAAAAAAACAACATATGTATTTTTTCTTCATTTTATCATTAGTTAATATTTTCAACATAACAATTATAATATAAAAATACATCTCTCTATATAGATAAAAAAAAAATCATATTTCCATAAGAAATAAAACAAAATGAAGCCAACAACCAAACCAAATCAATTCATATATATATCAAGTGCTTCTATATACATTAAAATATTTGTGTTGTTATATAATATATTTTCATCCTTTCCCCACTTTATTTGTTTGTTTAAAGTATTTATTATATACATAAATACAGTTCATATTTGTTTTGTACCTTTTATATATCAATATCAACATTTTTCATTCTTAATATTTTTTATGTTTATATTAATATTGAATGATACAATCATTTAGTTTTTTCTCCCATTATATTTCTATTTTTCCATTTTTCTTTTTCCTTTTTTTTTTTTTTTTTTTTTTTTTTTTTTTTTTTTTTACATTTCATAGAGCATTACCGTTAACCTAGCTTCACAATAATGTTTATTTTTCATTTCCATATTTAATGGATTTTTCTCATAAAGTCCAAAATTTTTTTTCCTTTTTTTTTTTTTCATTAATTTCTAAAGTTTATTTTTTTCACCTTCAATTTTCACACTCGATACGTTTCTATTTATTATGGCATATATTTTCACATAAACATAAACAAGGTGTACCATAATGAAATGATGTATTGATGTATTTTGTTTTTTTTTTTTCAAATTCCGGTATTCTCTTGTAGCATATTATTATTTACTTTCTAATAAATAAAACATGAATCAATTACTAGAATAGAAGAGTACTACGCATGTGAGGTTTAGTACAATTTAGTCAATCTATCTGTGTTAGGTAAATCCCATCGGATCAAACCAAATCGAATGATTTTTGTCAGGTGTTTTATGTCATGCCTACGATTCGGTTATCACAAATAAGTTTTCGTAGTCTATGAACTATAAGTTAGATCGCTGGCAAGGCTTGTCGTTTGGTCAAAAATTGTCAAATATTCTTCTTCAGCCCAGCCTGTTCAGTAAAGTCATTTCATTTAGCTTATTTCTGATCTGTATATCAACACGCGTTAGTGATGAGAATCGATCAACACTCAGCCCAGTTTTGATATAATCAATTTAATCCGGGCTTTTGCTTCACCCCTGAATAGCTCTAAGTAAATTAAGTTAACCAATCGATCAGCCTGATCCGGTTAATAAATAAGTCTAGTCAGTCCAAACAACCGGAGCAGCTTATTTGCCAAATGCTATACATTATATATGTAAGTACGTTTCTAAGATTTCTCTGTACAAAAATAAAATTTCAAATCAATTTGGAACACCTTTTTTTCGACACATATGCATATGTGAATTCTTTTTTTTTTTTTTTTTCTCCAAATATAACTCTCTTGTGTTTGCATTTTTATTCATAGTATTTCGTTTCTCATTTTTCTCACTGACATAAATTTTCACAATTTTTTCCCTTCAAATCGAAAGTAAAAAGAGTTTTTTTTTTTTACAAGAGAAAGAAAAATTTATCATCAAACTCAATTCGTATCAGCCATTAAACGATTGATTGATAATTGATTTTGAATATTAATTAAATAAAAATTGCAAATTTTCTTTGTATTTGAAAAACTCTTTACTTGTTTTGTTTTTTTTTTGTTTTTAATTTATTTAGAAATTATCTACTTTTTTCCTTTTTTAATTTTTATCATTTTTTTACAAACTCTTGCTAATCTGGAAAAATCTCTATTTTTCTCTCTTTTTTCTGTAGATGGTCACGCCTGATGCTCTATTTACCCTCTTTGGTACGTCTGCACAATTTTTATCAATTTTTTTTTTTTTTTTTATTTTTCAAACAATTTTTATTTAATAACTTAACTATAGAAGAAACAAAAACCTAAAAAAACAACAAACTTAAAAGAACAACCATAATAATACAACTGTTGTTGTTTTTGTTGTTGTTTAATATTTATTATAATTTAAAAATTATTTGAAAATTAAGAGTCGTCGTCGTAAACTAATTACCACAACCACCATCTATAAATGCTACTATTTTTACTATTTGCTTATAATATTTATATAACTTACTTGAGTATATATATTTTTAACTGCTAAAATGTAAACAACTATTAACTCTTCTTCTCTTTTTTTTTTAACTTTTATTCTAATTTTAATTAGCTCGTTTATTTAGTGAATAGCTAACGAGCTTTTATTACAGGCTTATAGAAGCTATAGGCTATATAGAGTAGAATATAGGCTATCTGAAGTACTTCTTAAATGTTTTATATAAAAACTTTCTCTCTCTCTCTCTCTCTCTCTCTCTCTCTCTCTCTCTCTCTCTATCTCTCTCTCTCTCTATCTCTCTTGCTACACAAGCTTTCTATTATGTAAAACTTGGTTAAGCGTAAATGTTCTCTATTCCACAAAGATCCTTTTCTATATATATATATATATATATCGCCTACCATATATATATATATATAT